CAGAGAGGTATCTCAAAGACGACAATGGCCGGAACGTTACTGTGAATGGCGAGCGCTACCGTGTGATGATTGATGACTATTTGTTGTCCAAAATGGAAGAATTGGACATGCCTGACATGTGGTTTGTTTCAACAAGACGGCGCCACATGCCACACGGCACGCGAAACAATGGCCCAATAAAGAGCCGCCTTCGCTGAACAGTTTATCTCACGTTTCGAACCCGTCAATTGGCCGCCTAGATCGTGTGATTTAACTCTTTTGGATTTTTTCTTGTGGGGTCATGTTAAGGCTCATGTCTACAGGAATAAACCAGCACGACTGACGCTCTGGAAGCTAATATTGAAGCATTCATACGTGAAATATCGGTTGATATGTCAGAGAGAGTGTGCCAAAATTGGACCTTGCGCATGGGCCATCTGAAGCGGAGCCGCGGACAACATTTGCATGAAATCTTCTTCAAACATTAAATTATATTGATCGTTCTATCGATTCCAATAAAGATTTCATCAATTTCTTTAATTTTTTTTGTTGTTTTGATAATCAAATCATATACCTTTCAAAATTTCGCAACTAAATAACTGTGAACCCAAACAATGGAGAGCAAGGTCATTTCAGCAGAAAAAAATATCTTTAATTCCTTCCGGTTTGTGAATCTTGAATCAAAATTGTTTATCTTTAAAGCTGGCATGTAAAACACACTTGGCGCGAATCGTGAAAATTTGAATGACCCTGTAGCGTTGCGTGACCTTTGGCAGTATCATAACATCACTGACCGGTCACGTGAGTTACCCTGAAACTTGCCTGATACTCAAGTTTTCCTCAGGATTTTAATATTTACACTTTTTCCATTCCGATTCGTAGGTGTATACCAAGAATTATTTTCAACTCATTTCCAGACTGCTAGTATACATATTGCACTTTTCTTTCGATACGACAAAAAATTAATTCCACCCTACTCAGAGGAAAGCAAACAATTGAATATTCTAAAGTTGACGGTGATTTTTATGCAATAATACGAGTAGAAGAAGTAATGGTCAGATTTTTTGAGTATATAAAAAAGTGGTAGCAATATCGATAATATGAGGTGCTCTCAAAACAGAACCACATATTCTATGATCAAAAATAACTTGATTGGATATAACTTACTTGAATACAAATGTGCAGACAATAAAAGTTAGAGCCCTTGGAAAGCACATAATGAATGATAATAATAATATCAAATAGGCATCCTAATATACAAAAACATTTTAAAATTGGATAAACAAAGTCACAGTCCAACTTCATAACACTATAATATGTATGCTCGGAATTATCAAAGCATTCAATAAATAGAAAAAATTACATGTCAGTTTAT